GTGGGAGGGAGGAGGGGGCGGAGTTAGGGTGGGGGAAGGGGCGGAGTTGGGGCGGGGCTAGGGGTGGGGGGAAATGGGCGGGGCCATGGCCCGTGGAGGGTCCTCTTTTTTTATTTATGAAATATGGTAACCCTAGATTTGTGGTGTCTGGGGCTTTTATAGGCCACCCTTGGAGGAGCTGTGTGTCTGAAGCTAGACAGCACGGAGTCTGAAGGCAGCTGGAGTCATGGGGGTAGGGAAAATCAGTTTACAAATCTGTCTGTGTCCCCTGGGATGCTGGAGGTGGTAGCTGATGGTGGTGAATGGCAAGTGGTTCCTGGGGAGCGGGACTCTTTTCAGCAAGTGCTTTTAAATAATTTCCCTCTGCCCAGAAATGCCAAATTCCATGTTAAAAACCACCACTGAAAAATTCTGTACTGGTTCCATACTCCAAACAGGGAAACACCAGACTCCAGACAAATTAAGGGAAAGTCTGATCTGTCACCTAATGTTTTTCTACTTCCCGTATTTTTGACCTACAGAGGTTGGAATTCAAAACTGTCGCTTGGTCTGTCTATTGACACCCATTAAAATAAACGAGGCTGCTCTCCCAGCTCTGAATCTCTTTGTAGCTCGCTAGGTGGCTTTCCACAGCTTTCATGTCATCCCCTGCTTAGCTCTCTGGTAGAAAAGGAGACCACTTATTGGATTAAAAAAAGTGACCCAATTTGCTAGCTGCCCCATAATGATATTTTCCCATATTAGGCTTTTGTGAGTGACGTTTCTACTCATGAAAGTAAACAAACAGCTGGACTCTGGCAAATTCTCCTGCCCAGCTCCTACTACATACCTCAGTCCTGTCCTATGAGATCTTTGCAACTCAGTCCCAAGCTTCTCCTGACTAGAACCAGAGGTTAGGCAGGACAGTCCAGTGGTTAGGCTGATGAACCTGATTCTCCCAAGTCCCAGGTTAATTCTCTGCTCTACCACAGATTTCCTGCGTGATCACGGGAAAGTCACTTAGGGCTTGTCTACACTAAGGCCAGGGCAACACTAAATACTTAGGTTGATCCAGCTACATCACTCAAGGATATGACGTAGTTAAGCCAAACTAAACCCCAGTGTAGACAGCGCTAGGTTGGTGGAAGAATTCTCTTGGGGAGATGGATTAACTACAGCAACAGGAGAACCTGTTCCTGAAGCAGCACTTCTAGTGAACACATAGCTTCAGGAAAGTTAATCCGAGTTAACTCCAAGGTGGGTTAGTTAAACCACATTAAACCCTTGTGGGGACACACTGATTCAGAATTAGAGTGCCTTTAGTTCAATTGAGCTTAATTCATTTCCAAAGGTTTAACTAATCCACTTTAAATTCATACCATTAGTTAATAAAGATTAACTTTCCTGAGTGTCCTTGTATAGACAAGCCCTTATTCTTTTTGTGCCTCAGAGCCCCATCTATAGAATGGGATAACAGCACTTCCCCACTTCGCAGCAGTGTTGAAAGGATAAACATATAATTCAGAAACTATGGCAACAGGGGCCATATAAGTACCTAAGACAGACAGACAGAGCTTGGAAAACAGTCTGTCTGTCTTGTTCCAGTTGCCAGGGGCCAAATGTCCTTCTTGTGAAAAAACAACAACATCACAACGGGCTATCTTGTTAACCATCTGAGCAGAGACAGAAAGGACTGAGTAGACCCAGGACTCCCAGTGGTGGTCTCTCCAGGTCTGGTATAAGGCCCATTTACCTGTGTGGAAGAATGAACGACCTTGGGAGGAAAGCCCAGGGCAGACTGCATGCGGTTTTGCACCTTCCAGCATTTCCGGGAGTTTGTGCTGACAATTCAGCAGGGCTTGTGCTTTTAGAAACATTGTTTAGTCATTCCATTTTTGGACAATTTTATCATCCTGTTTCCCAACATACCCTCTTCTCAACAACCCAAATCCTCCAGAGAAAGGATCAGAACCTGGGACTCTCTCTGACAATATGTCCCATAGCAGCTAATGAAGGATTAGAACAATTGAAACCCAAAACAGGAATCAATTTGCCTCAATTGTCTTTATTAGTATTAAATGGTATAATCTGACCACGCAGTCAGAGACAACAGGTCCTCCTTCTAACAGCATTAGCTAAGTTCAACCTTCTACCTATAAAATGCAGGAGGCAAAGGGCCCCACACAGTTTGGTATGCCCTTCCAGTGGGGATGAGGAAGCAGAGATTGTGTTAACAGCTGTTTCCCCTGGTATTTTCCTGGGCCCTTGCACTGCTCAGATAAAGTGCAGGCCAAGGCTCCTAGGATTTGGTTCTAATCCCCGCTGATCAGATTCTGTTTGCCTTGAAAAGGCAAATCAAGGAGAATCCTCTGCTCCACAATTTAAGATCCAAGAGGCTTTTTAAATAGATGATACGTCCAACAATCAGCAGACAAAACAAATATGAATGCCAGCAATTAGCTAACAGCAAAAAGATAATGGTGTTTCAGTTGAATTAGTCTTGGATTATTCTAACTTTTCCTGACACCTGGCAAAAATATGTACAGCTAGTTTAAAAAAAAAAAAAGAAAGAAAAAGACTGCATCAGGAAGGTATCAGAAAGTGTCCTGTTACAATGATTATGTCACCTCCTTCAAACTGGGTTTCACTTTCCAAGAACTTGTCAACTAACGATCTATATAGGAGGCCTGGATGAAAAGCAGGAGGTAACCCCTGCACACACTCT